GGGCCCCTCCCCAATATGGAGGCACCAAGAGAGGCTCATCAATGGTGGAGGGATGTTCCAGGGTGAGAGGGCAGGGGAGACATGGTGGCAAAGTCTGAAAAGTCAGAAACAGAGCTGGGGGTCAGGAAGGATGGGAGAGACACATAGAAAGCCCCTAACAAACACTTGTTGACTTGATTTCACTTAAGTTGTAATTCTGAAGTAAAAGAAAAATGCAGCCTTGAGGAGACAATGCCTGAAAATGCGTATCCCCAATATCTAAAAAAAGAAAAAAAATACTGGGAAAGTTAGTGCATAATATCTTTTAAGCCTCAGGGTGAACGTTTATTTAGCACCTATGTGTCAGGTACTGTGCCTGGTACTTAAGATAAGATATTTTCATGTTGAGAACTAGTCTCTTTGAATAATACCCATGTTTTTTTTGGAATCATGATGATTTCACTAAAAAATGATTGTCTAAATATGTAGAGGGATCCCTGACATGCGAATTGTTGTGGGTCTTCCAGCATCCCCATGGAAGTACCAGCCATTTCCTTCTCCAGCTCATTTCACAGAAGGGAAACTGAAGCAAACAAGATTGAATAACTTGCACCAGGTCATACAGCTTACAACAGTCTGAGGCCAGATTTGAACCGCAAAAGATGAGTCTTTCTGACTCCAGGCCTGGCACTCTATCCACTGTGCCAGTAGCTAACCTAAACTTGTATGATACAAGATATCAAAGTACACTCAGTGAAAACCACAAATCCCTTCCCTTCATTCTTATAAGCTCCTTTCCTTATTAATTCTCTCCTACCTGGTTTAATAGTAATCTAGTGGGGGTGCTTTGTGTTACTTTCAAAAAACTAAGAAAATTCTCTTCAATTGAGTCAGTCCCTACTCTGGAATAAGACTTCTACCATGGACTAGATTTCTTTTTCTCAAACAATAATCTGATACAATTAGATGCCTCACTGTTAGTGACCAAATAATTTATTAACAGTCTCAAGAAGAAAGAAAATAAAGAATTAAACAGAATGCAGAATACTGCAATTGAAGCAGAGGTTAGAATCACTTCTGGGCTGTGCAAAACCAAGGGAGAAAGGAGTTGCTAGGTAGAATCGCATTCCCTGTCACCCCATTCTGGTTCTGCCTGCCTCACTACAATCAACTCCTCTGTCACATACTTGCCTTCTCCTTGTTTATCTGCTTCTGTCTTGCCTCTCTGCCCCCTCATGTGGCACCTTAAAATTTAGGAGCAAGTCCCTTCCTCAAGGTGACTGAAAACCCTAAATAAACTGAGCTCCCCTCAGATTGTCTGCTAGCAATTTTTCCCCTCAAATTGCTGGTTAAAAGACTTGTTCTCAGACTGTCAGTGAACTCTCTCTGTGATCCTACTAAAATTAAGCATCAATACCTAAACTCTCTGTGATCCAGAACCTCAGGAAATTGATCCAGCACTTACAGGAAAATAAGAGTCACCATAGACTCTTATCTGATTAACTAAATTCTCTCTTTTCTGGCATCAGTCACTTCTCATGCATATCAAGTTTAGGTGATAAAGGTCATCCTGATCTTCACTGGGGATGAAAACCAACAGGAAAAGGAATTGGAAATATTCAGATCTTAGTCAAGTATCCAGATTCCATAGGCCACCAATGGGTCACCTACTGGGAACTGAAGATTCTTTGTGCTTTTTGTAAGCAAATGAAAGAACATCCTCAAGATAGCACAGGGTTGGCATTTTGAAAGACCTTGGCATTTTTCAATAGAGAGAAAGGCTTCCTTTTTAATTCATGATAAACATTATGGCATTTTCAAGTCCACCAGTTTTTGCAATCACCTCCTAGTCACATAGTGTTTGACCAGAGGTAAAAAGATATGTTTTACAATATTCTTTTCATTTCTGATGTTTGTTAATCTTGGTTCCAATAGTCATATATTTTCCATTTAGTTCCTATCTTGGGAAATGCAAGTTAGACTCAGAATAAGAGAAGCATTCTGATAAGACATAAAAATATTATAATTGCCACATGTTGAATGACTGATTGACATTCTGTAAACAGCTGTTTTTTGACCTGAGAGTTTTCTTGCCCAACTATGTCTCAATCTAGATATCACTTTCATAATTTAGTCATCTTTTTTTATACATGGTACTGTAATTCATGGCAAAAATGTTTTTGAGATTTTTACATATTTATTTTGGTGAGGCAATTGGGGTTAAGTGACTTACCCAGAGTCACACAGCTAGTGAATGCTGTGTATTTGAGGCCAGATTTGGACTCAGGTCCTTCTGACTTGGGAGCTGTTCTGCTTTCCACTACACCATCTAGTTGCCCCCATTTTTTAGTTTTTTAATGAAAAGTTGTGTCCTAGTTACCTTTACGAGGAAAATTCTTTATATTTCCTTTATCAGTGATCACTGATCATTGGGTAAATCCTCACATGCATTCTCATTTCCTCCAATAGAAAACACTAAAAGGCTTTTAAAATAGGTTTATCCAGATAATCACCCAAGACACCATTTCATTTATTATTTTGGAAAAGATATAACAAAAATGAAATTCAAAGATGTTAATTTTTCTATAGCCGGTATATAAAACTGCAAATACATGGAAAAAATTTGATGCTTTTAAAATTTCAATTACTTAAGAATTTCATTTGAAATTATTTCTCTCAAAAACTATGTGATCATGTGTTGGGGAAAATGTGTGTGGATAGGGCCTGCAATTATATCCCTCAACTCCTTCCTTTTCCAGGTTTTTTTCCTACCTATCTGAATGGAGGGATCAGAAAAAGATTCATCAGCAATATTATGTCTGAGCTGAGCCTTCAAGAGAGATAGAAATCCTTTGAAATGGAGGGAAATGAGGACCTATCTAACATTGTATTAAAAGCAAACAGGACAGCGTCTCCAAATGTATGGAGGTGGGAGATGGAATGTTGGGTTCAGGAAATGCTATCTAGTCAAGTTTGGCTGCAACATGGTGTGTTTGAAAGGGAGTGATGAGAGAGAAAAAAAGGCAAGAAAAGTTACACTGAAGTAAGACTGTGAAAGACTGTGGAATTTGTATATTAGCCTGGGAGCAAGAAGGAATGAGTTAAGATTTTGAGCAGGGGGTGACATTGTTGGTTTCAGAAAAATATTGGTCAGGTCATTTTTGGAAGTTATGTGGTAAACTGTCTGGAAAAAATAGAAAATAGAAACAAAGAAAGGGCTTAGGAAGCTATTGCTATCATTTCAGTGAAGGCAATGGAAACTTAAGCTAAGCTCATGGCTATATGAATGGAAAAGAGGAATGGACACTAAGAATGCTGGAAAAATTGAACCAATGAATTTTCATGACCGATTAGATATGGGGTTGAGGGAGAGGGCAGAGGAAAGGATTACTCTGAGGCTATTAATGTAGGTGACTGGGAGGAAGGTGGTGCCACTAGTAAAAGAAAGTAAGTTGGGCCAAGTGACAGGCTTAAGGTAGAAAGTGATGAGGACAGTCTGGGGCAGTTTGGATTCTATTTACATATAGCACACCCACTGAGGATGCCAAGAAGGCATTTAGTACCATATACCTAGACTTCTGGAGAGAAGATTGGATGTAAAGATCTAAAAGTCTCCGGCAAAAACGTGAGAATTGAAACCATGAGAGTTGAGGAGGACTCTAGTTGAGGGAGTGTGTAGAGAGATGAGAAAAGGATGCAAGATCCAGAACTGGGAGATAGTACGTGAAGATAATGATGGAGCAAAAGAGTCAGGCTAAAATACAAATTCCATTGTCTTTCATAATCTTACTCCAGTGTAATTTTTCCTGCCTTTTCTTCTCCCACAATGCTCCTTTCAAGCACACCATGTTCCAATCAAACTGGACTTAAAGAGCATTTCTCAAACTCAGCATTCCATCTCCCACCTCCATGCATTTCCATACCCTATCCTGCCCACCTTTAATGTGGTGATAGATAAATCCCTGTTTGCCCCTACCTCAAGGGATCTTTACCTTTCTTGAAGGCTCAGCTCAGTTATTATGTTACTGATGAGTCTTTTTCTGATCCGTCCATTCATTAGTATTCTCTTCCTCTTCAGACTGCCTTGCATTTCTCTATCTGTGTATAGTCACCAACAGGTGACTATAAATTGAGAGCAGACATAGTTTTGTTTTTATATTGCTGGTCTAAAGCTTAGTAACTCACACTTCTTTTTAAAAAATTACTTTCTCATCTACTATGGACATAAAGGACTTCTTCTGTGGAAATTCTCTACACAAATGCAGATCCCAAACTTGTCTGGATGGTATAGTAATCAAGATTTGTCTAGTGTACATAAGTGACGTTCCCCCAGATACCAGCCAGGATGGGATAGAAGCAGACTCTGAACCCTGATCTTAAGCTGTGTTTCCTTTCAGCTTTGGACATTGCCTGCTTGTCATTGTTTATGGTGGTGGTGGTGGTGGTGGTAGTGGTGGTCCTTCATTCTTGAAGAGGACCAAGGACATTATGAGAATGATGACTGGACTTGTGTGTGAATTGGATTTAAGAGAGGCAGAGCTGCCCAAAGTTGTCACCTCATTCCGGCCAGTACATTGCAGACATTTAATAAGTGTTATGATTACTAAATAACAGAATCTCAGGCTGAAAGAGATCCAACAGGGCACCTAGACTAAGCCAAACCTGAAGAATACCTCTGACAATACATCGGTAAATTGCATGCCATAGTTGATAGAGTGCTTCAATTGGAGTTGGCAAGATCTGGGTTCAAATCCTTCCTCTGACATTTAGAAACTGTGTTAAAGAACTTACTCCCAATTATGAGTCATCACATCCTCTACATATCCACCCACCCAGACTGACACATTTGATATCTTGATTTTCAACTTGGAGGCTTCAACTCTACAGTCTGTTGTGCAACTTGCCTTGTTAAATGACTTCTTGGCATGGGTGGGTACCAAAAATGGGCATAAAATCAATACTCGTTCGCCGTCAGTGATGATAATTCAAGGTCATTATTGACGTTATTTCAAACCATAAAATTAGCATATCATTAATGGCAGAATTTAAATAGCTCTGAGATACTCTGAAAGCCATCATCTCTTGAAAGAAGCTCTCTTGTTCCAGTCACCTGTCTTAGGTAATATTTCCTACATATTTTTTTTTATTCTAACCTATCATTGCATGGGCATCTTAAAAATACATGTGAGGAATGAAGTATAAATTGCATAAGATAATAATGGTTCATAGAAAAAAGCTATTTTTTTTTTATTTAACAGGTATATTTGGTGTAGGGAAAGGGAATGTGATGGGATTATAGATCTAGAACTGGTAAAAACCTCAGAAGCCATCTGGTCCAACCAGCTCGTTTTACAGATGAGGAAACTGAGGCTCAGGCAGCTTGAGTAACTTGCCTGAAGGCTCATGATTGCTAAGATGTTGGGGAATAGAAGATGGCCCATTTTTCACAGAGGCCAACAAGTATCTCATAAACTGGAGATTACTAAGGGGACGGTGAAGGCTGTGGAAAAAACAGTTCTAATCCACTTAAGTAGAACCAGAAAAAAAAATGTAGTAACTGGACGATCTGGCATACTTTTCTCCATTTGACTCTTTGCTAATCTCCTCCTTCTGAAAATAATCTCAGTATTGGCTTTCTCTTTCAATGTCACCACACCACTTTATGCTCCTCTCCCTTCTTTCCCAATGCAAGAATTCTGGAAGTCTTCTCCTGAAATGGCTTGTTGTCCCACTGAAGGAGGGTCACCTGCTTAACTTACTCCCCTCCTCTGCTGCCCAGATGCTCCTCTCTTCTAGCCTTCCTTCCTCTGATTTGTTCTGCCTCTACTTTCTCTATTGCTACTCTTCTTTCCTCCACCAATGTCATTTTGTTGTCTTTGGGCTCTTTTGTCTGACTTCCTTCCACTCCCAAGTCTTCCGCTGGAGCAACTTAAATATCATTAGACTTGATAGAGTAAATGTACTATGTTTACCAAGTTAAAGGGTTTTGCTGTCCCCAACTCACATCTCTTTTCTTTTCTTTTTTCCTTTTTGGTGAGGCAAAAGGGGTTAAGTGACTTGTCCAGGGTCACACAGCTAGTGAGTGTCAAGAGGCTGATGCTGGATTTGAACTCAGATAGTCTTGACTCTAAAGCCTGAGCTCTATCCACTTTGCCACCTAGCTGCCCACCTAACTCACATTCTTTAAAAATTAAATTAACTCAAGATTTTTTCTTGTCTGGCTTTTGGAGAAATGCTATGTGTTTGTTAGCGGTAAGTAACTACAAAGATTGAGTGACCGTATGATGTAAAGGAAAGAGAATTAGTCCTAATTGCACCAAATTATGTTATTCCCAATGGATAGAGCACTGACCTTGGAATCCAGAAGACTTATCTTCATGAGTTTAAATCTGGCCTGATACACTTACTAGCTGCATGACCCTGGCCAAGTCACTTAACCTTGTTTCTCAAGTTCTTCATCTGTAAAACGATCTGGAGAAGGAAATGGCAAGCGATTCTAGTATCTTTGCTGCAAAAACCCCAAATGAGGTCACAAAGTGTCAGAAGCAATTGAAATGAAAGAACAGCAGGGGTGGAAGGGACCTCACTGGGGTATCTCATCTGACTGACACTGAAATAGAATATTCTCAACAATATATTCTACAATAGCCATCCCGACTGTGCAACGTGTCTAGGGGTGGTGGTGACAAAGGAGAACAGGGCTCACTGCCTACCATGGCAGACCATTCTCCTTTTAGATAGCTTACTGTTAGGCTATTTTTCTTTCCATGAAACCTAAAGTTTCCTCTTTGTGATTTCTAGCAATGAGGTCATGTTGTCTCTCCTGAGCTCCTGTTCTACATCACCATGTAATGATCTATTGGCCATTTGGAGGTGGCTGGCCCACAGTCATCTCAAACTCTCCAGGACCAAATTAGACGTCGTTGTCTCTCCCCTCAAGCCCATGCCTATTCTTAACCTACCTATTTCTGACAAGTTTGAGAGAGGTGTAGGGAGAGGGAAAGAAATGAGAATTTATTAAGTACTTACTATGAGTTAATCACTGTGCTATGCACATTATAAATATTATCCCAGTCGAGCCCCATCCTCCCAGTTACCCTGACATAGAAATTTGTTGTCACCCATAACTACTCCCTCTCCCCAAATGTCCAATCACTTGCCAGATGTGACGATTCTGGGTCTGCCACATCTCTCACATCCATGCCCTTCTAGAGCAGGTCTGGCCCTCATCACCTTTCACCTGAATGGTGACAATAGCCTCCTCACTGGTCTCCCTGCCTCTAGCCTGCCCCTTCTCTCATCCATCCTCCCTACAGCTGACAGTAGGCATTCCTCAGGCACAGCTCTGGCCAGGTCAGTCTTCTGGTCCTTAAGGTCCAGGGGTTCTAGGATAAGATATGACCCCTCCGTTTCACAACCAGCTCAGACCTTAGTTTCTAGGCTTTTTATACGCTGCTTGCTTTCATGTAGAAATACGGTGCAGCCAAACTGGCCTTCTTCTTCTTGTTCTTTACACACGACTCTCCCTCTGTCTCTCTTCTCCACAAGGCTGTTCTCCAGGACTGGAATGTATTTCCTCCTCCTCTCCTCTGCTTAGAATCTCTCACTCATCATCAGCCCCATCTCCCACCTGAGGCTTTTCCTAATCCCTCAAGTCCTGGCGCCTCCCCCACAAAGAAAAGGCCTTGTCTTTATTGTTCATATAGCTCGTCTATAGTGAATCATCAGCTTATAGTTCTAATGCAGCTTCTGTGTCATTTGGAACATGTGTACACATGTTACTTGTGTTGACAGAATGTAATCTCCTTGAGGGCAGGGACTGTTCAGCTCATGTCTTTGGCACACTTAGCACCAGCACTAATCCTTGCCTTTAGTGAGTGCTTGAGAAATACTTGGCTGAATGATGGATCAGCAGGGTCAGAAAAGCCCTGTTTGAGTCTATACTCAGCCATTTACTATCGGGGGTCTCCCCTGTACCACAATTCTCATATCCTTAAAACCTGGGTAATAATATTTTTCCTGCTTATTCCCTGCTATGGATGTCCAATAAGACATCACAAAAAAGGCAGTATTTATATGGCATTTTAATTTTGCAAAGTTCTTTATGAATATCTCATTTCACGCATATAACAGCCTCAGGAGGTAGGTGCAATTACTCTCCAAATTTCACTGATGGAGAAACTGAGGGAAACAGAGGTTAATTGACTTGCCCAGAATCACACACCTAATGAATGTCAAGGAACACAGATTCTTCTGCCTGCAGGGTCAGCTCCCTCTCCACTGTGCCACCTGGCTGTCTCAGTAGATGTCAGAAGTATTTTGAAAAATGTTAAGTTCCTTTGTACACGTGACTTGTTGCTATAATACTACAAGTCTGAAGTACAGGTAAAATATTTTTCTCTGGAACTCATAGAATTTACTTTGCAAGATTGAGATATAAGGATGAGAGGAGATAATTCATGCGCAGGACCTTAATAACTTCATAGCACTAGATACGTGTGAGGTACAGAGAACCAAGGCAGGATGAGTGACGACCTAGTCTCAGAGCCACGAAGTCTGATCTCTCTCACTCACCCTGGTTCTGTCACCCTGGGATATCTCTTATCCTCTCAGGGACCCAGGCAACTTTCTAGGACTCTCAGCTGCAGAGAAGGTGCATTGGAGGAATTTCTTCCTAGGAAAGGACTGTAACTCAGGGAGACCTTGAAGTCAAGGTCCTTTTCCTTTCTCCCACAAATGTGAGCTGTTATTGTTACCTAAGGCTCCTGAGCACCGAATTCATGGGAGAAGAAATATTGCCCCGAGTCTTAAAGGAACAACCCAGTCAATCTGGACACTTCAGCGTTTCCTGAGTTCCCTTTATTCAAAATCAGGTGATTAGGGATGATTGATACGGAAAACGGTTGTCATAAAAACTGAGGGCCGTTAAATAAAAATAAAAATACTTCCATCTCTTCTTTCTTCTTCTTCCCTACCTCTTTGATCCCTCCCTGCTTTCCTTCCTTCCTTTTCTCCTTCCTTCCTATCTTCCTTCCTTCCTTTCTTTCTTCCTACTTTTCCCCTCTCTCCTTACATTCCTTCCTTTTTTTAACTTTCTTTCTTTATTGCTTCCTCACTGTCTTTTTTCTCTTTCCTCCTTTCTTTACTATGACGGGAATTGGTTTTGTATGACTATATGTATTTGTGACAGCCTTAATTTTCTTGCCTTCTCAAAAAAGGGAGAGAATTGGGAACTGAAAATAAAATGTAATTGAAATTTTTAAAATGTTCTTTCTCAAATTTCAGGAAACCTATAGACATTGTGAGTGCATGCTATGTGCAATGAGTCCTTGACACTGTGTCCTGCATCCAAATTCTGGCTCAGAAAATCACTAGCTACATAGAAACAAGTCACCAGAGTTTTTGAGACTCAGTTCCCTCATCTGTAAAATGAAAATAAATAACATTTGCTCATCAGGTTCTTGGAATCAAAACACTTTAAAACTCAATAGCACCACAGAAATAGGAGTTAACTTATTTACCTATGTTTCTTCTTCATTGAAAAGACAAATATGACACAAAGCAGGAAACAGACTAAAGGCAGCAGGGATTTCTCTCCTCTCTATTCCACAGGAGCCTAGAACCATGAAGCTCTATCTTTTAGCCTTTCTTATGGCTCTTCTGGTTGTCCTGGCCGTAAGTACTTGGGGAAATGGAGAAGGGGCTGGTGTTGGCAGCCATCAACCCCTCTTTCCAGCAATGGTCCCTTAGTATCTGGAGGCTTGGCTATACATTTGCATTCCCATGTCTCTGAATTAGTACATTTTAATTTGTTGTTGTTTTGGATTTTTTTGTTTTGTTTTTACTATCTGTATTGATCTCTGAAGAATTCAGAAAAATTCCTTGTGGCTGTAGCCTCAGCTAAGTAACTCTTCATTTTACATGCATAGCTTTTTCCTGCCCTTTAAGGGACAAGATCTACATGTCCCAAACAAAAGTGAAGATAAGGAATGTTTATCTAGCCATTTGGGTCAAAATTCTGCTCTTTCTCAGTGTAGGGAAAGTAATTCCGTAACCCAGAGAGTTAACTCAATGAGCTTGTCTGTCTGTTTGTCTGTTTGTCTGTTTGTTTGTTTTGATATGGCACATAACTGAGTCTACCGATGTTTTTTTTTTCTTTTCCAAAGGGAGCTGACTCTTCATCAGAAGAGGTAAGACATTTTCAAAAAGAAAATGCACAGTTGTTTAATATTCAGTAATATGTAGCCTTTAAAAATGTGTCCTTTCTTTTAACAGGAGCACCATGGCAAGCACCATCACAAGGTAAAATTATATTTTATTGTGTTTAACGTATAATTTACTGGATTTAACATATGCAATTTGTTAGTATACTTCTTTAACTTCCCTCCCCCAATATCTCATTGCTAATTGTTCCTGAGCAAATGTGTATTTAAATAAAGCAGAGATAGATATTGATTCCATTTAAGCATGAGACTGCTCAGAATTTACTAGCTCTGAGTACACAATCTCTGTACACATTTATTTTCCATATTCATTGATTGGGATAGAATTGCTACATTACAATAATCATGTTAAATAAAGTAAAATTTTACTGCAAGAAACGATGTCCATATTCAGTCTCTTCTCCCTGCTTCCCCCTAAATTGTACAACATTTTGCCAAAGATTCTATAGGATTTCATTAACTCATTCCAAGCACAAGAGACATCAGAGACAATCTTGGATGTTTTTGAGTTCTCTGCTCATTCATGGAGTCCTAAGTGATCTCATTTATATGCCTGGAGCTTTGCACAAAGGAAGATCTTAACAAATGTTGGCTGAAATGACTCCATTTAGTTTGGTTTGGTTTTAGAGAGTGAGGAGTTGACCTATCTCCTTAAATTCCAACTAGCTAATCTAGGTACTCTACTATTTACTAGTTTTTGGCCTCCAAGCCCATTTCTAGCCACATTTTTGTTGCTAAATAGAATTGTGCTTATACATGGCCTTGATGATGCCCATGTCACCAAGCAACAGTGGATTTTTACCACGTCTTCTATGAAATGCTTCACTTGTCCCTTTCATTGATTCCTGACTATACCCGAGGAATTAAAATTAAATGCATTTTCTCAAAGCACTCATAGCTGTTAGACTGCTGCTGAATACCAGGGAAGACTAGTTAAAGCATGAACAGTTTTGCCCACAAAATAAGCACTTTTTTATACTGAAAATAGTTCATTTTATTTATTTTTAAGGTCACATAGGTGGGCTAGTCTGCCAATATCCTTCAAGCATGAGAATAGATTTCTTAGATGCTTTGAAATTGATTTTCAAGAAGGATTTCAGTTTATATTTCTCTGTCATCATTCTTTTCCAGTCATTCAGGTTTCAATCTGCTGCTTGTTACCTCTGTAACACTGATCAGGTCACTTCACTTTTCCTATTCTAACTTTCAGTGATGCTGGAAGAGATTTCTAAGGTCCCATCTCACTCAGTCCAGGAATCTCCTGCTGAAGATTAATGTACAAACTATGTTCCTAAACTCTGTCCTTCAGAGGCCACGGTGTCTCTCTCCCAGTATCAGAGATCTGGAGGTGGAAGGACCCTTGCAAACCATCCCATCTAACCTTTTCATTTTAGAGCTCAGGAAACTGAGACCTATCAAGATTAAATGACTCACCCAAGATCGCACAGCAGGGGGTGTTAGAGGCAGGATTTAAAGCTAGGTTATTTCATTCTCTCCACTCTGTCAAGAATAAGAACAGAGAAGTCAGCAGTTCAGTAGTAACGGTTGTCTCTGATTATCCTCTCCCCATGGAATCAAGGAAACTATGTGGGCTTTTTTTTCATCTTTCTCCCGATGGAGTCGGGGCAAGTACAGGGTTTGATTTTTTTCAACTGTGAGAAAATATGGAAAAGGGAATGAAGTTATTATTTTTTATCAAGACACATTATGAAAAGGGTAACAATTATTTGGAAATGAGGTTTTTTAGTTTAGTAAATGAATCATATTTGATAAACTGGGGAGTACTCTCAGTTCAGTGGTTTGAGAGATTTCATGAAATTGTATTAATGAGTACAAACACATACCTATCTCTGGTCTGCTCTGCAGCTCAGGCTGATATGATACAAGTGAATCTGGTGACACAAATAGCCCGTCGTGGGTGAGCAGTCGTACAAATCCCGCTACATTTCTATTGTTGTTGTTCAGTCATTTCATTTGTGTCCAACTCTTTGTGACCCGTTTGGGGTTTTCTTGGCCCATGATACTGGAGTGGTTTGCCATTTCCTTCTCCAGTTCATTTTACAGATGAGGAAACAGAGGCAAACAGGATGAAGTAAGTGACTTGCCCAGCGTAAGCATCTGAGGCCAGATTTGAGCTCATGAAAATGAGTCATCCTGACTTCAGGCCCAGCACTTTATCCACTGAGTAATGAGCTACCATGTTACATTTGTATATGCCTATTCTTTCAATGTTAGCATGAATACTAAGAATTTTACAAAGCTATAAATGAACCAGAGTGCCTCATCCTTATGTCTGCTATTTTCTATTTCTTCTAGAAGCCACTTTCTGAAGGATATCCTGAAAATGATGAATATCCTCCATTTCGTCAACAACCTCCAATTCCCAATTCACCAAATGCACAGCAAGGAGGATATCAATAATCACAGGTAAAAATAAGTTGTGCTTACTGAAAGTATGGTAGGTGGTGTGGTTGAAAGAATACTGGATCTTACAGTTAAAACTCCTGGTTGAACTTCAGATGTAACCCTTAATAGCTGAATGACTTGGACCAGCCAGAATCTGAACATCTTCTTTCTTGTGGAAGATTTTTCTGAGTCCAGTCTCCATTGAGTTACCAAAGTGATATTCCTAAAACTCAGTGTTGCTTGTTCAATCCTCTCCCCCATGCCAATAAATTCTAGTGGTTACCTATTATGTCCAGGATGAAGTATTGCATCCTCTATTTAGTTGTGAAAGCCCTTCAAAATAAGTTCCTTCCTAACTTTCCAGTTTTCTTACACTTTACAACCCTCCACCTGCGCAATGATCCAGCCATACTGGCCTTCCTGCTGTTTCCCACCCCCAGAATCATCTATCTCTCCTTTCATTTATCTCTACCTCCTAGGATAGACTCTAGCACATAGTAAACACTTAATAAATATTTGTTGACTTGACTCTCCTTATGTCCAATGAGAGCCTCAGAGATTACATCCTGACTAGAGTAGAAGTCAGGGATAAGGTAATCTACCTTCTCCATGATCCATCTTCATACTAGCCTTATGTTTTTTCAAATCCAACTGAAGATGATTTGAACTTCTACAGAGAAAATGGTAATCCACTTTTCAGTCAAGAGAAAAGAGGAACATCTCAGCTTCTGGTGACCAGGCATGAGAGACAGATATAGCATGCAGCATTGTCCAATGGGAGCCAAACCCTTAATGGGTTGGATGAGAAAACTGTTAATAGAGCAAGGATTATTCTAGTGCGCATCAACTTTACTAAGGAATAATAGACAAGTGTCTATTTCTCAAATCAGGAGGAAATGGACAAAGCAAAATCACACTTTCAGGAACCTTGGAGCCTTCTTCATATATGCTCAGCTACAGTGCTATGGACTATCCTAGTAACTTTTCCTGGACTAGCCTCTGAGATTGTAAAGACTTAAGGATGGTTTGGGGACCAGGTAGAATAGATGTGTCTTTATCAAACATCATCTAAACCAACATAATCATTAGGTGAGAATCTATTTCTGTAATACACAGAGACTGCTTCTGACTAGCTTGAACTACTAATAGCATCAACGAAGGGAACAGATTACACCAAAAATAATTTCAGGAAGGAAACCCTAAGGCAATGTTTTTTGTTTATTTCTAGGTTTGCCTGGAAGACTGACTTGATCTTTCCATATGATGAATCTCCAAGTCTACAAATTCATCAATCTCTCCATCTGCCTACTTACCAGCCTCTATTATTGAGCATTAGTTGGTAGCTCCAAGCTTGTTAGATTAACATGAATCATTCTTCCAAAGGACTAATGCTCTTCTTTACACCCTCCATAAAATAAATTCAGCTCAGAGCATATTGAATGTCTCTTGTCCTAATTTCCAACCTTCGGTTCTGATTCATCATGTGGATAAGAATAACATAAGGAGAAGAAGATGTGAAGCTTCTTGGTATAAGAAGCAGAGACGGCCTTTCAAAACTGGCCTTCAGGCTGAAATGACATACCATACATAGGAACTTGTACACATTCAGATGCCCATTTGCAACATGGCACAGTGAGAAAAGAGCCATCTTACAGGCAGGGATACTTGGGTTCCAGTTCCAGCTTCACAATCACGGGCAAGGCAGTTAACTTTCACCACTCTGAATGACTAACCAGAATTGTACATGACATAAAATAGTGATCTCCATAGGCAGAGAGATGAAATCACAGGTCTGCAAAATATAATATGTGTATATGCTGGTTCCACTAATAGAACCTAAGCTCTTTGAAGGCAGATGCTATTTTTTTCTGTGACTTTTTCGCCTTTCTTTGTCCCTCCAGAGGTTGGCATAGTGCCTGGCACATAGTAGGTGCTTAATGAATGCTAGCTTATTGACTGCCTGACTCCATTCCTAGACCCTAGAAAGCCTAGTCCATTGTAGTTAGCTTAATAAATGAAGACTCTTTGATCGAGTTGAAACTTTATCACACTGACACACTCCACATTCAGCATGCTCTCTGGGGGGAAAAGAGCACATTCCATTTTTTGTGGAGGTCCATTATGACAAATCTGTTAATTATTTTAAATGGTAGCACTTTGAATCATCAATCCTTTCCCGAAATTTAGGGAAGAACACTAACATTTTGATTACTAAGAATGGATCTGAATTATAAATCTGCCTGGCCAGATGTAGCACAATCTCAGCGAGCACCTGTGGGAAGCCGGCAGCCCTCCCTTTCAAGTGGTGTTCTGGGCAGGTGAACCATGGTGGCCAAGGAAAGAATTGGCATTTAAACACAATATGGGATTTTACCAGAGAGCAGAAGGCCTCAATATCACCTCTGTACAAAATGCCTTGAGATTTTTGTGTCCACCAGCTTCTTCAAAGCATCTACTCATTTCTCATAGTAAAGGGTTTGAGATAATAAGGTAACTAGAAGAAAAAAGTTCTTAGTAGATAATTCTTGATGTTTGCTATTCCCAAATAACCCAACCACAGACCAAGTTATTGCAGAAAACCCAAAGAATAACACATGGTAATGGAAGCAGATCATAAATAGCCACTGAAAAAAGAACTGCTATAAATATTCTAGAGTCTGTGACTCTTGTCCCACCTTTTTTTTTTTATCTTTTTCTGATTTAAACCTAGTAGGGGGGTCAAAGGAAATGCACAGTTTTATAGTCCTTTGGGCAGAGTTCCAAACAGTTCTTTAGAATGGTGGGACCAATTCATAATTCCACCAACAGTACATTAATATACCTATTTTTCCATACATACTCCAGCATTCATCATTTTTCTTTATTTGGGGGTTAACCAATCTGATGGGCAAGAGGTGATACCTCAAAGTTGTTTTGATTTGTATGTTCTAAATCAATAGTGATTTAGAGCATTTTATATGACTATTGACAGCTTTAATTTCTTCTCCTGAAAACTGCTTGTTCATATCCTTTGATCATTTATCGTTTAGGGAATGGCTCTTATTCCTATAACTTTCACTCAGTTCCCTACATATTTGAGAAATGAGGCCTTTATCAAAGAAAATTAGTGCGAAAATTTTTCCTAGTTTTTGAATGCTAGTGAGATTCCACCAGTTGTGGAGACATAATTTAAAAATCATTTGAAAATCATGCCTCTGCTTTGGGAAAAAAAGTATAAACATTATATTTTGAGAAATCATGGGTGAAAATTACACAGATCTATTAGAACCAGAGGGCAAAGTGAAGAATCCACTGATCACCTCCTGAAAGAAACTCCATGGAACTCTGCCCAAATAGCTATAAAAATGTTCATACCTTTTGACCCAGCAACAGCACTTTTAGGGCTGTATCCCCAAGGGATCAGAAAAATGGGAAAAGAACACACAAAAAATATTTAAAGAAACTCTTTTTGTGGTGGTCAAGAATTGGAAATTGAGAGGATGCCCATCAATTGGGGAATGGCTGAACAAGTTGTTATATGAATGTAATGGAATACTATTTTTCCAGAAGAAATAATGAGCAGGCGCCTTCAGAAAAAGGTAGAAAAACTTACATGTACTGATGCTGAGTGAAGTGAGCAGAGTTAGGAGAACATTGTACAAATTAACAGCCGCATTGTGTGATGACCAACTTTGGTAGACTTAGCTCTTCTCAGCATTGCAAGGATCTAAGACAATTCCAAAAGACTCATGATGGAAAATGCTGTCCACATTGAGACAAAGAACTATGGAGCCCGAATGCAGATCAAAGCATACTATTTGCTCTCTTTTTTCACTTTATTTCTTCTTTTTTGTGGTTCTTCCCATTGGTTTTCTTCTTTACAACATGGCTAATGTGAAAATATATTTAATATGAATGTATGTGTAGGACCTATATCAGATTGCCCACCATCTTGGGAAGGGGGAAAGAAATGGAGGGGGAGAAAATTTAGAACTCAAAATCTTATGGAAATGAATTTTGAAAACTAAAAATAAATAAATTATTTTTCCAAAAAACAGATGATGTAGGCTAGGTAGACTGGTTCTGTTCCTCAGGTTTTAAGTGCAGAAAGAAAAAAGAGGATAAAAGCCTTACACTATTATAGAAGGAAGAAAGAGGTAAAAGCTGCTATTCCTATAACTGGATTGTATGAGCAGAGTATACAAATATGGAGGAATCGGGGGGGGATGGGTAGGCAGGCTTCACAGAAAGCTCACTTTTATATGAAACAGGTTAATTGATGGTTAATTACACACAAATAGTTTGGCATAAATATACACAAACCCCAACAGGGAGGAAAAATGAATGTGTAAGGAGTTGTTCAGTTGTCGTTGAGTCATGTTCAACTCTTTGGACAAGACCTCTTCCATCTTCTGCATCCTAGGACCTTCTCTAGAACAAACAAGCCTTCCTTGCCTCCTGACCAGGCTTCCATATTGCTTTCTTGTACTTTCTGTTGTGAGTTGTGACTCCTGGGGTCTCACAGGACACAACATCTCTGTCTACTAGGAGGCTCAGTCTCCAGGAACAAACTACAATATTCTAATCTAGTTCCTCCTCTAAGTAATCTTTTTCCAATCTCGGATACTCCACCTAAATCCAGAGCTAATGGTTAGTATATTTCCATTCACTGGTCCCATCCCAGTGACTCTGAAGCCTTTGCCTCCTGAGGTTTAAACCATTCCCCATCCTTAAATCTCTTCTTCTTTACCCCTATCTACCTCACCCCTTGTTCCCTGTTGTCTTACTCCAGGACAATGCCACTCTTCTCCCTCCAATGCGCCCTTTGGCATGCCAGCTCCATAATTAACAAATTCCTTTTATCCTCCATATTGTTTTCTGACTCCTTCCATCTCACTCCATCCTCATTGGGACATGGCTCCCTCCTGGCACCATAGCATCCACAGTTGCCATTGCCATCCTTTCTAGCACTAGTTACATTCATATGCTGACTCATTATGGGTCACGTTGAAGAGAGGTGGAAGACTCTTCTCTTACCATTGTTACTTCCAGACTCTCTCTATGCCATCTTCACTGAGCAACCTCTCCTCCATTGAGGTTCAAACTCAAATTTGTCACACAAAATGACCCTTGAGGGTATTACTTACCAACTCCCCAGATATTCTCCTTCCTTCCTAAAATTACTTCAGTGCCTGCCTTAAAGGATTTCTTCCCTACTCCCATATTAGGAGGATTTGACATACATATTGATACACTTTCAAGTTTCCTAACTGCCCAGGTTCCTCAATCCATTCATTGCCCATGACCTGATCTTCTGCTCCACTTCAGCCTTACAGAAATGGTGACATCCTTAATTCTGTAATCACTCAGAAGTCTTCCACTTCCTTGTTCAAGAACTCTGAACTTGTTTATCTCATCATAATCCTTTACCATTCTATCATTCCCTATGCCTTAAGACCACTAAACCTGTTCTTTGTCTTCATTCTGATTTCTATTCCTTCCTTTTCTTTCCCGTGCTTTCATACCAGCACTGACTACACTTTCTTCTTCTCTCAACCCTCTTAGTGAATTAAGTCAACTCAGTATTATCTCCTATGCTCACATCACTTGTCCCCTTGTCCTATCAGTAATCACACTTCACCAGATGCCAAACCTAGATTACTCCTGCCATCTACTTCTTCCTTTTGCATGGAGCTGAACAGAGCAAAAGGAAATTCAAAGATTTATTCTAACTGGGCTCATTATAAACTTATCTTACCTAATTTCAACTGGATCCTCACTGCATCAAAACAAACATATTATTGCTATCTAATAAATTCACTGTCCCAACCTCTACAGTAACCATTGCAAAGCTTCTCCTTTCTTCTCAAGCCTCCCATGACATCCAGTCACTCCCTCCCCTTGTCACTTGAAGGTTTTTGCTCAAAAACTTGGGACCATTTGCCAAGAGTTCCCTCATCTTTCTTCCCAATTGTGATACCATAGTCATCCGTCATCTCAGCCCCTGGAAGCTCCTAGGCTTGCACCTGTTATGTCAGTGACTCCTCCCTTACTCTCCAATCCCTACAGTTTTCCCTGCTGCCAAAGTGCCTTAAATGCAGATCTAACCATGTAACTCTTGAAACCTCTGTATGAGCAGGTTAGTGTGGCAGGATCTGATAATGAAGCCATGCTGGCTCTTTCCAAATTTTCTCCAACCATGTATTTCTGCAATTTCCTCAGGAAGGAAAGTCAAGCTCATTAGCCTGTAGTTCACAGACTTTTCTCCTCCCCTTTTTGGTCCTAGCAGCAATAGGGAGCCACTGAAGTTTATTGAGTAAGAGAATTACATGATCACATATGCATTTAAGGCACTTTGGCAGCAGGGAGAACTGTCCCTTCTGGCAGCCTGGGAACACTCTAGAAGCATTCTTCTCTCTATTGCATAAAGATTCTCAAAAACAGTCTAGGGATCTC